GGGGGAGGGGCTTAATTTGATTTTATGCCTAGAAAACATGCTGGGTCTTCCTATTGGTGGAGGCCGTATTGTTGGAGAAACACGGTAGTATTTGTATAATAAGGTCTGCACACCTAGTTGGTTTAAAAAGGTAGATCCTCAGTTTCTAAACTGTTTTGGTTAAAATAATAAAGTATCTATTTCATAAACACATTTTAATGTTACTCTAAAAATTACATTGTCTGTGATTTTCTGTCTGTCAATAACTTTCTTGGTACAACCATTTTTATTGAATATAGAAGGACATATTAAGTATAAGTAGTCACTGATGTGATTGATCACCTAGCAACCTTTTCATCTCCCCAAAAGTTACTTTTGACTCTGCCCTGAATTTATGATTACTGCAGTGACCTCACTGCTCTTATGACTGACCCAAAGGGATACTGCAATGCCTGCCCGCCTATCTCCTCCCACTTACCCCTGGCCATGTCCTCACAGCTCTTTGGCCTGCTTTCCATCCCAGGAACTCTTGAAAGGTACCCTTCGCTTACCTTACAGAACTCCAGAGCTTGGAATAGGGAAGCATACCAAGTTGGTTTTCTGCTAGGCTACTTAGCACCATCCCAATGGCTTCTAAGTTGAATGCATTGAATTGTGGCAGCACTGAAAAGGCAGTTCGTTCCAGGATGCAGCCACATAGCCCAAGGAAGGAGTGTTTTGTTCTGCTGTCCTAACATGGTCTGTACATTACTGCAGAAAACTCTGGACACATTGTGTTAGGGAAGCAGAATAGACTGTTTCATTGCTGGGTAATGTGGGGTGATCCAGAAAATGCCCACCATTTTTGGAGCAATCACTATTCAATGTGGCCATTTGGAAAATGACCAGATTTTGATCACTGTCATTTGGACAAGCAGTGAAGTTCCCTAACTCAAATTCCAAAGCTCTCGAAACTTTGAAAGCTAGGCAAAGTAGGAGTGGGGTATATTGGGTGGTAAGCAGGAACAAGGTTTGTGGGAAGGGGTGGGGAGTGCTGTAGAGACCAAAGTATACCCAATCAAGAAGAGAAGCAACCTGAAATTAAGAAGAAACTTCCTAACAGTGAGGACAATGAATCAGTTGAATAGCTTACTTCAGACGTTATAGGTGCTTTATCACTTCTTAAAAAGATTCAACCAACAAATGCTCTGTCCTACATATTGGTAAAAAAAATCAGTACACCAAATACAAACTAGGCGGATATGACCTCGTTAATGATCCTCACTCTGTCAAGGACCTTGGAATTCTCATATCAAATGACCTAAGCACCAGAGCTCACTGTAACAGCATTGCCAAAAAGGCATTAAGAGTTGTAAATCTAATCTTACGAAGCTTCTCCAGAAATATCGAATTGCTAACTCGAGCATAAAAATTTTCCAGACCAATACTCGAATACAGCTCATCAGTCTGGAATCTGCACTGCATATCAGACATTAATACAATTGAGCAAGTCCAGAAGTATTTCACAAGAAGAGTACTACACTCCTCTGCTTGCAACAGAATACCCTATATCACCAGGCTTGAGATTTTGGGCTTGAACAACCTTGAACTATGTCGTCTACAGTTAGACTTAAGCATAGCACACAAAATTATCTGTTACAATGTCCTACCAGTCAATGATTACTTAAGCTTCAACCACAACAATACAAGAGCACACAACAGATACAAACTCAATGTAAACTGCTTGAACTTGATTGCAGAAAGCACGACTTCAGCAACAGAGTGGTCAGTGCTTGGAATGCACTACCATACCTGACTCTGTTGTTACATCCTCGAACCCCCACTCCTTTAACTTCAAACTAACCACTATTGACCTCACCCCATTCCTAAGAGGTCTGTAAGGGGTGTGCATAAGTGCACCATCGTGCCTACCGTCCCTGTCCTATTGTCCCCATTTATTCGTACCTATTTCCTGTATTCTTACTCATGTTTATACTTATATCAAATAAATAAATAAAATAAAAATAAAATAGTATAGGGTCTCCTGTTTGGTCCCTTCCAGCTCTATTCTGATGGATTGATTGATGACTTCATCAGAGAGATTAGGAGGGGAGTTGTCAAATGAGATAGTCTTGTCTAATGATTATCATGACTTGCAATCCTAATGGAAGGCTCTATTATGGTTGTAGGTTGAGAACTGCTTTTGGATTTAAGATAAAAAGAAGAAAAATCTTCACAGTCCTATCTCTCCCAATATTTCAACTATAATTATACACTTTAGAGATATATATTTTTCTATTAAAGTTCATCTAACCTCTCTAATAGAGGTTAGACTAATCCTCCTCTCAGAAAAATTCCTCCTTTTGTTGCAATATATTCTTATTTGGCAGAGAAACATCTGCCTCTGGATGTAAATATGTACATACTTGATATGAGTTTTTACTTTAGATTAATCCTCAATAACAGCCTGGAATAAAACCCACAACTACGTTAATTTTATTTATAAAATAGATTTGAAACACTATACTTTATTCTTTTTGAAAAGTACAGCTTTTAAAAAAGAACTCGATGACATATTTTCAAATGGAAATTAAATAATGAAAGTAGATTGTATTATGTTTAATAAATAGATAACATATGAAATTTAAAAAGAAAAAGAAAACATTTTGTATCCTGATTCCTTTGCCCCCACTTTTCATAAAGTTTTATTTCTTCCTCCCTTGTTTCTGGCATACTAAACTATAAATACTTTGGTATGTGCAATTGAAAAATGTTGGTGATAAAATCTCCCTAGCAAGACTTCGTATTCTCCCTTATATAAATAGCAAGTGAAGAGTATACTGTAGAATTTAAATATTCCCTTGAAATTGGAGAACATTCTATTGCAGCTAAAACATTACAAAGAAAGATCTTAGCAGCTGATCCTTGGCTAAAACAATAGATACCCTGGTATATGTTGGTAGGGCGAAAAAGCAATACTTTGAATTACCATTCCTCTCAGCAATTATATAATAAATAATAACAAACATAAAAATCTGGCTTTTGAAGTCCTTGGTAATTTATGAAAAGGTCAAACATCTCTTGATAGTTCTACCTCCTCCATTTTTCTTTGAGAGGTGAGTTCTTGTAGAACTTTGTGTAATGCTTTGTAATGTCTATTCAAGATAACTTTCTGTATACCTAATCCTGAATGGGTTACCAAACTAGCGAGACAGGTGAGAGTATGATAAGTTATTGAATAGATTAGGGAATGTATTTTATTCAGTGGAAATAATTCAGATCTTCGAATCTTACCACCATTCTTTAAAATGAAGTATGTGCTCTACTTTTCTAGGCTGATGGGAACATCATTTTTTTCTTCTATATGAGAATAATATTATATGGCTCCCTAATAACAATGTATATTCGACATCAATGTCGGTTTTTGCCTTTTCTAGGGGAGAATACTGAACTAGCCAAAATTTACCTTCTATAATTTTAAAATTAAAAAATATAGTAGATCAACATTGTATATTCTCATTTTATTCTTATGATGATGGGGCTGATGTCAGAAATCAGAAGCCCCAGATTACCTTTTGATCACTGCATGTTTTTCTAAGCAGAGTGAAATAATTTTAGTATTAAAAAGGTTGAGAGGATAATGTATTGATTTGTTAAAAAACAATCTGATTTTATCAATTACATCTCAAAAATTCTTATTTTTTTTAATGTAGGAAGATCCAGTACCAAATGGTCTTCGTGCTCTTCCAGTATTCTATGCTGCTACAATAACTATTAATGTGTTCTCCATAATGTATACAGGTGCTCCGGGTGAGTATATGGAGTTTGCTGTTAAAAGATTGTTTTGTCCTTTGGAACATAGAATATAATTTTGTACTCTTCCCACCTTAATTTAGGCTGGCTTTTATTTCCAACAAAAGAGTAATGTCTGCAAGCCAAGGTTTTTCTAAAAGTTAGACGCAATACTTGCAATATTTGGCTTGAAAAACAGCAATTTCTGTACATATGTCCTTTTTTTATTTAAGTGAATTAGGGTAAGACTATTCTCCTTATTAGAGGTTAAACATTAAATCCAACACTTCATAATATTTCTCGTGTTTTATGATTTTAATATAAATTTTAATAAGTTCAGTTGTCATAATATATTTTTCTGTTCAATCCAGAAAAAGGAGATGGGATGCAATGTTCTGCTTTATAATAATACCAACATTTTTGTAAAATGAAATTTATATCGTTGTTTTATAAAGAAATTTTCTGATTTAATGGCTTATATTTCTGAAATAATATTCCAGATCCTCTCTATAAAACATAAGAGTTACGTAAGAAATTCACACTTTTATTTTCTTCTTTTTTCAGTCCTAGGAATTACACTTCCTATATGGGCAATAGCACTGATATCAATTGGTGTATCAATTGTATTTGCTGCCTTAGTGTGGATATTTGTATGTCCATGGATGAAAAGAAAAATAGCAAGTATGTTTTTTTCATAAAATGATGGTTGAAGTAATCTTATTTTGAAATTTTCACATGAAGACTTCTAGAACACTGCTATAATATTTTAATAACACTCTATAAGTATTTGTATATTGAATGCTGTAAGACTGATATTTTATTGCTTGCAGTTTAAAAATTACCATGAACCCAAATGCAATTTTATTATATACAAGAAAGCAAATTGTGTATAAAAGAAATTAAATTGTACAAGATTGCTTTTAACTAAGTGCAGAATGTTTTGATCCTGGCAAAAATATTTCTTCTTTGCAACATATTTTGAAGAAAGAATTAAGAAGACAGATTAAAGTTTGGTAATCCAAACTAAATAGATGATGATTATGCTAAAACATTTTTATTTTATTTGTGTGAAGTTATATATGAACTGTGTCTCTAGCTAACAAAATAGTAAATTATTGTATCACTGTAGTCAGTTTGCTTAAAAGGACATCAGTCATGTTGACCTTGAAAGGTACCATATTTTTCGATATTTAAGATGCACTCCTTCCCCCCAAGGGTGGGTGGAAATGTCTGTGCATCTTATACAGCAAATGTTGCCAAAGCCCCACCCACTCACCGGCCCCACCTTCAGTCTCTGCCTCCATGCAGCAAACAGCCTGGTAAGCTTCAGCACAGCCTGATTTAGCATGAGCAACTGATTGTCAGTTGGATCTGCCTCCCAGAATACCGATGATCAGCTGTTCCAGACTGCAGGGATCGCCATAACCTATTGCCACCTCCGCACATCCCATTTTCAGCCTCCACACACCCTGTTTTCGGCCTCCAGATACCCTATGGGATGTGCGGAGGCCAAAAACAGGACACACGGAGGCCGAAAACTGGGCACTCAGAGGCCAAAAACAGGGCATGTGGAGGCTGAAAATGGGGGGCACAGAAGCAATGGTAGGTGGTGGCGATTCCTGCAGAGTGGAACAGATGATCGTCGGTATTCCAGGAGGCAGAGCCAACCAGCAATCAGCTCCTCGTGTTAAATCAGGCTGTGCTGAAGCTGACCTTGCTGTTTGCTGCAAGGAGGCAAATTGCTGGGAGGCAGAGACAGATATTTTTGTTCTTGTTTTCCTCCCCGAAAGCTAGGTGCATCTTATAGTTTGGAGTGTCTTATAGTTCAAAAAAATATGGTAGTTGTGTAAATGAATTGTTGTTTATAAATTCCTGTATTTTATCTAGGTCGTTTAAAGAAGGAAACTGCACTATCAAAAATATCTGATGAAAGCATTGACAAAATTCAAGAAGAGGATATGCCTGTCTTTAAAGAACTTCCTGGTGTAAAAGAAAGTGATGAAAGTACTATTCCCCTGACTAGCTGTGGAACAGAAGATGCTGGTGTATCAGATAATGTTGCAAATGGTAGTCATCCACGTGTACCTTATGGTAGGAAATTAAGAGCTCATGTATTGTTTCTCTACATTTTATGTGTAGTGTCAGACTGCTGTGTATTAATGCTCTAGACCTCTAACAAATTTATAATTATCACAATTAATACAATCAAAATATTTTTTTTTCTCTGAATAATGTGTATGCAGACTTATGTATAGCTCTCGCCTCCACCAGACCTCGTCAATTATGCATCATCCTTGAAAAAAGATCTAGCATGCATACATCCTTTGTCTTCATCTTTTCTGTCATTTCATTTCAGAATTATTTGTGGTATCTATTTATGTACTCACATTTGCATGCTTTCAAACTGCCAGGTTGGTAGGAGCTGGAGCAAAGATGGGAGCTCATCCCATTTCATAGTACTCAGGATTTGAACCTGAGCTTTCCAGCCAATAAATCAGCAGAGCCATTGTGCCACCTCTGTAGCGAATATGGCACTAGTTAAATCCTTGCCCCTTTCGTATCTTATTGAATTAATTTTAGTCTTGTTCCTTTTTAACTTTGACAGAGCCCACCCAGTTCTGGATGCTTTCTTATATTTTAGCCTGTAGCTGGACAGAAGGGCTTGGCACTTTTAATGCATTTTAATTTGAACTACAGGTAATCCTCCACTCATAAACACAATTGGATCTGGAATTTTCATTGTTATGACTGGATTTTACAATTGCTTTCACAAATTGCAATCATGTCTGCAGGATGTTGCAACCAGTTGCAAATACAGGCCAGTTTCTAACTGCCTGAATAGCAATTATATGTCCACAAGAATGGTGCAATGGTTTAAATGTGAATACTGATCATAAGTAACTTTCTGAGGCAGTTGTACCCTCATTAAACAAATTGTTGTGAGTCGAGGACTATCTGTGGATATATTTTCTTAAATAAATAAAATCTATTATTTCTATTGCTTTTATTGTCCTATTTGCATTTGCTAATGAAGACTTGTGAAAAAAAATAGAAAATAAAGAAGCAATATTTTCTGAAATGTGTTGCAAACCTTTTGAATTTTCTTTGGTGAATAAGATTTTTCTGTAATATTTCAGGAAGGGCATTTTCAATGACTCACAGTATGGTGAAATCACCTGTCTCCAATGGTACATTTAATTTTGATGGCCACATGAAGAGTGACATCCATGTGTACCACACTGTGCACAAAGACTCGGGATTGTATAAAGACTTACTGCACAAAATACATCTAGATAGAGGAAATGAAGATAGGCCTTCGCAAGAAAATAACTACAAGTTACTGCGGCGCAACAATAGCTACACTTGTTACACAGCTGCCATATGTGGGATGCCTGTGCATTCTTCCTTCAAGGCTGCTGACATGTCAACCCCAGAAGACAGTGAAAAGCTAGTCACAGACACAGTATCTTATTCCAAAAAGAGGGTTCGCTATGACAGCTACTCCAGCTATTGCAATGCTGTAGCTGAAGCAGAAATTGAAGCAGAGGAAGGTGGTGTAGAGATGAAATTGGCATCAGAGTTAGTAGATCCTAATAATCCCAATGAAGATACTGCAGAAGAAGAGAGAGATGAACGGGATTCCTCAGAGATCCATCTGCTTTTTCACTTCCTCCAAATCTTGACAGCTTGCTTTGGATCTTTTGCTCATGGAGGTAATGATGTCAGGTAAGTAATAATGCCTGCATGTTAGTTCCTTTATAGCAATTTGTGAGTGTTGTGACTAGGTTCCAGTTGTTGAGAGTTCTTATAATATTATGGTCTTCACTGATTCTCAACTATTTTAAACATTTAAGATGCTTATTAAAATGGTTTTATCTGTAACTTTATATCAACTTTGACCTATTTCTTGCCATAGTTTGTACTCATTTGCATGAAAAATAACACAGTTAAACCAGCATGAGCATATAAACTTACTAAGCTAAACTCTCATAACAAAAAAAGACTGTAATGTCTTACTTTTGTGTATTCTTCAAGATAGAAGCCAACTATTGCTAATAATTCAAAAATATCCTGTGCTTTCCTTCTTTTCCAAGTATTTTTAGAAGGGAAATTAGAATTAGCAATTGTAAAATCCAGCTATGTTATAAACAGGAAATGATACCATTTAATTCCTTATAACTGTCCACAAGATTTTGTATGATTGGTTAGAATAGCAGTTCATTCCAGGAAGAATGGAAAGCAGATGGTTATTATCAGATACCCTGGCTTGAAGACATTGGTGAGCTATAGTATTCAAGTGTTGCTGTTTTAACCTTGTGGGTATTTTATAGTTTTTGCTTCTTTATTATTTCCTCTCCTTTTTTAGAAATATAATAGCATCTCCCAAATTATATTCTGTGAGTACTTACTGGAGTTTCTGCAATACCAAATTGTCAATGGCAGATAAACAGCTTGAGAGACACTTCATTGGTATTATGGAAACATCCATACCTTTTCAAGACAGGACCATGCTGTTTTTTGCAGGAGAAAGGGGGGTGGAGAGGACAACCAGACTCAACAGTTCTCCCTTAACATTAAACATTGCAATATTGCCATAATAGTTTATTTAAAGAATTACAGGCATGAAACACTATTCATACATAGAAAATGGAATATATGGAAATCCTGTTGACAGGTAATTACCAATTTTACATTGGCTATTAAATATATTATAAGCACAATATAATATTTTTGTGACCTGTTTGCTGTTGCCTGTAGTTTAACTTTTTGAGAGTCACTATTATCAAACAGAATGGTTTTTCCATTTAGCAACTTTCAATCTTTTGCTTCTGTTTTTTTTTCCTGGGGTGAGGGAAGGATAATCCTTTGTTTATACCATTACAATATGGAGGTCTTTTAAGGAATCCTTATGGCATTTGGAAGGGATTTTTTCCCCCAAAATATTTTTTTATATCAATGTTTTCATTCAACCTGAGTTGACAAATACTACACATTAATATGTTGTGAAGAAGCTCTGATTCAGTGGAATATGAATAGAACTATAATTAAATTTTATATCCATGGTTATTCAGAATCTGGATCCATGGAGTGCATTTACATTCACATTAGACTCTATCAGATGCTGGGACTTGTCATGTTGTGCTGAAAATTCTTCAAAGCTGGTGAAACTAATAAATGGTTACTGTCCCATTTTTAAAATATAAAATCTATTAACACTAATGTGTCTTTTCCTTTAGATAAATCATGATTAGAAGAGATAGAAAGAAATTACAGTAGATTTATGTTTATATCAGTATAATCAACCTAATTTTATATCTGTGGTGGGTTTTTTTAAAGAAAAAAAACTATAAAAACTAACATTCTACAAAGTAGCTGGGACAAATATTACTTTAGTATGCATTCACTGGGACCCCTGCTTGTTTAACTACTAGTAGAATAGGAGGCATCTTTACAGAATTGTTCCCATTTCCAGTGGGGTAAAATCCTCTTCACTTACTGCAGGCTCTTGCTGTTGAATATCTAAATTTCCACAATATGTCAAAAACAAAGGGAGATTTGCTAGTCAAAAAACTCCAGCATCCTAATTTGAGTACTTTTATTTGGACTGCATCTTCAATTATTGTTTTTTTTTCTGTCTGATCAGTAACCAGATTAAAACATATCTCCCCCCACAAAAAAAAATATTACTAGGGAACAGATAAGAATTATTATACTACCTGCTCTTAATTTATATTGTATCTCTTTGTGAAGTTTAAGTATAAGGAAGATAATGGTAATGAATTTATACATGCTGAAAACAGGATAGAAAGATGATGAAGAAAATAAATGGCTTGGAGCCCATCATGACATGATGTTTATCAGGTTCCCCAACTTGCCTGCTTTATTATTCTGTAGATTCCTATAATAAAAATTAAGCAAAAATCTAGAAATGTTATTTCCAAAATGTCTCTTGCCCTAATGTCATGGGTGGGATTCAAATTTTTTAACAACCAGTTCTATGGGCATGGCTTAGTTGGTGGGCTTGGTGGTCATTTGACTGGGTGGATGTGGCTTGGTGGCCATGTTATTGGCTGGGCATAGTCAACTCAATATCACTCACATCAAGGCACGCATCTCCTCGCCTGGCCTCTCATGACTGTGGGGATGCTGCAACAGTTGTAAGTGTGAAAAATGGTCATAAGTCTTTTTTTCAGTGCCATTGTAACTTTGAATAGTCACTCCACACAAACAAAGTACCAGCAAAGGAGGGGGGAAAACTCCAGAGAAGTTCTTGAGACAAAAAGTCTAGTCCTGCCAAGAATGTAAAAAGGGTTAACGGAGAGGCAGTTTCTGTAAGCAACACCAGAATGTTTCCTTCCTGCCTTCCTTACAGGATTAGGCCAGTAATTTCTTCTAACAACCGGTTCTCCAAACTGCTTAGAATGTTAACAACCGGTTCTAATGAATAAGTGCAAACTGGTAGAATCCCACCCCTGCCTAATGTAGATACAATTGGTACCATTAGAAAATAAAGCAGTTTATGACTACAAGCCAGTGCTTAATTTAGAAATATCAACAAGAAGATAAAAGTAAACTTGGATGATATAGTGTATCGTGAGAGGTTAGTTGTAACTGGAAAGTTAGTTCACAGTTTCTTTCTAGGAAGAAATGTTTTGGATTGACTGTCTTTCCATGGCATTCATTTTGTATTTGAGGGGCTGCCACAAAGAAGAGGGGGTTAGCCTATTTTCCAAAGCAATGGATAGAAACTAATCAATGAGAGAAACAACCTAGAACTAAGGAGAAATTTCCTGACAATAAGAAAAATGAAGCAGTGGAACACCTTGCCTTCAGAAGTTGCAGATGCTCCATCACAGGAAGTGTTTAAGAAGAGTTTGGACAACCACTGATCCATTAATTTCTTTTTCGTCAGTGGTTAATAGTTTCTATACATGCATTTTTGTTATTTAATGGAATAAATTAGTATAGCTGCTCATTTGAACAACTGCAATTCTGGGCAGTGTACAGTTAACAAAACAAAAACAAAAATCAATAAGTGATCAGGAACCCAAATTTATAATACTCCTTCCAGGAGGAAACTCTGAACAACTTGGCCTGATGCCTGAGGAAATTGGTGGGCCTAGGTACAAATGTTTAGTCATTAATGTCATTTGAAATTAAGGGCTTTTAAAGATTTTGTTAAACCATTTCATATTTGCTTTGCACTCTGTCAAATAGAACTTTTGCCCTTGATTCCAGCTGGATATTTTGGCAAGGCACTTAGACTAACTATAATCAGTGCTAGTTTGGGACTGTTATCTTCAGTCCCTGAATTATACATTCTCTGGAGTCTCCATTGACACTCATCTGAGAAAGGACTGGTGCTGATATATTAAACTTGGGCTATTGTATTTAGCATTTTTGTTATCCCTCTGATAATCAAGTTGATGCTTTCTTAGTTTGGAAGATTACTGTGTGACAACAATGCACCCTTCTATTTTGACCACAAGTTTCAAATTTGTTTATTAAAGAGGTATAGCCATCTTATTAACATTATAAAAATTCAATTAAAAAGGTATTGTTTCCCTAGTTTTCGGCACCAGATACTGTTTAAATTCTGTATCAATATTTTTATCAAAGGAATAACACAATGCAAATAGTGCCAGGCAGGAACTAGAAATTATCCAACTGATGTTATAAGATAGAAAAATGGCCACCAAAATGCTTATGAATATTTTTTACATTTACAGTCTGTCAAACCCCTCTTTTGGTGGTATGCAAATATACGTTAGAAACAATATGCAGTAAACAAAAACCAAACAATAAATTACCAATAACTAATGAAAAGCTCAGAATAAAGTTGAGTCAACCAAACCAAAATGGTATCAAGACCCAAATGCTCTATGGAAGAGTTCTGATTTGAGCAGCTTCTGGAAGCCAATTAGGGTAAGAACCAACTGAATGTCCTGGAAGGACCTTCCAAAGAAACACTAAAAAAGCACTGATGACTTTTAGCTCTTCTCACATTCTTAAAGTGAAGCACTGCTAATAAGTTTTTCTGGTAAAGTGAACTAGTTGGGCAAATTCCAACTGCAGTTTTAGATTTTTAAGTTTACATATTACATTTCCTGCATAAGCATGAGAATAAAAAGTTGCTGAAACTGAATAAAACATTGCTGTGATTGTGTGAGTGAGTAAATAATGATTAAGGTGTTGGATTAAGAGCCGGGCGATATGATCCACCCTCAGCCATAGACATTCCCAGATGACTTTGGACTAGTCATTTTCTTTCAGCGCAAATTACTTCACATGTTTGTTGTTAAGATAAATAGGAAAGGAAATACTATGCTGTCTTGAGCTCCTGAATGAAATCCAGGATATAAATGTAATAAATAGATGTTTTATCTTTTTCCATTTGTAAGTATATGAAAAACAATCAATCTGAATAAGTCTCTATTCTCCTGCTCTTGTCCCACACTTTCATTTCTCTGCTCTTGTTGGGAAATTTATTTTCTGTAATGAACATATATATTTATTAGCATTATGTAAAATGGTTTAAAATTGAAAAATTTAAAGCTTGAAATACTGTATTTAGAATTTTAAATACTGTAAGCTCATTTCAGATTTGTTTCAAATTTATTTATTGTAAATTGAATTGTTTTCAAATTTATTCAATTTATTTGTCCAGTGACAAATTACTCAACATTGTTCAGAAATGCTGTATATTAATAATGGTAGTAAAATAACAGAGGGTTATTCTCCTTCAAATCTTCCTTTAATATCTCTCATCTCATCTTAATTATGGGTCATAAAACCCAATGAAATAATAATTCTGCTTTTGAATTACTACAATTGCAGTCTTTTAAGTAGGTATTGCACAACCAGTCTCAGAAAAAATGAGCCATGTATGTTTTGTCACATCAAGATGGTAGATGGTTGTTTTATCAATTTGATTTCCTTAAAACAACCACAATTTTTTCCAGGCTTGCACAAAAGTCTGACTGCTCAACAAATAGCAGAAAAATGTATGTATGAAGTCCAATGTCTTCAAAGTCATTTGTCAGAATGAAAGAGTTTTAATGTCTGGCACTACTTTTCATGAAATTCCTAGGACTTTTCTAATGTCTATTGTGTATTCCAAGCTGATATGTGTTGAGTCCTATATTTTATTTTCAAATTCCAGTCCACTTTTAATTGCATGATTTTTTAAATGGTTCATGCAAATGGACCTGAACATTGAGGAAGCAAAGGAGGGAACCTCTGCTTTTTATCTCTTCACCAATCTACTTTTGTGTTCGAAATGAATTTAAAACAAAGTCTTTTTTAGACTCCTCTTGGTAAATGCATAGATTTGCAATAGGGAAAACTTCACCTGAGGAAACCAGACTTGATAACATTTAGAGCTTCAAACCAACTGTTAGATTTGATCTCAGAAATGAACTTGGGGTTAATGTTGCCGTACTAACAATTACATGGTCAATAGTTCTGAAGTCATCTGGGCATAAATATCATAAACCAATGATAAACTATCAGCAAAGTACTTTAATGGCTGGTCTGTGTTAAGTAATATTCACGAGTCATTTGCAAGAGTCTTTTTGGTATTCTCTAATAGCATAACAGCATGGCCACTATCCTCAGAGAAGCAAGAAATTAAGAACAATCTCAACAGAGATTGAGAAGACAGTATAAAGCTAATGCTTATAGAAAACGGCTCTTTGTAAGAAGCTAGTCTAAATTACATTAAAATGGTCTGCAGGCTATTTCAGCAAAGCATTTAGGATTTGATGTTATATTTTCTTCTTTAGCAATGCTATAGGCCCTTTGGTTGCCCTCTGGCTTATATATGATCAGGGTGGTGTAAAGCAAGATGCTCCTACTCCTGTTTGGCTCCTACTGTATGGAGGCATTGGCATCTGTGTAGGCCTCTGGGTTTGGGGAAGAAGAGTGATCCAAACAATGGGAAAAGACCTCACACCTATCACACCATCAAGGTAAGTGCACGTTGAGTAGATAATGCTTACTTTGATAAATTTTGCCATGGCATCTTTGCCCCTAATTATTTTTGCTTTTGAACTGAGTTGAATATCTTGTCTTTAAACTAACATAATATGCCTAAATTGTTGAGGGCTAGTTGAGCTTTAGAAAAGTCTGAAGATGTCTTGAATAGCATAGAGAAAAGGCATAAATCAAAGTAGTTTAGTTTTGCTTTCCAAAACTAAAAACTGGATCCATGATTTTATTTGTTTTTAATGCATACTAGAATTCTGCTGCTAACCTAATTGCTAATTAAGCCTTAATGTCTTGGAATATAGATTAGATATCAGGTATCAGAAAGCTGCTTCACTAATTTAATGTGGATGTATGTGTGTGCATATAGTTTTCATTATCCAGCAGCTTCTTACTCTTTTAATATAACTCAATGATCAAACATTGGAGGAAAGCATTTGAAGAAGAATGGGTAAGCTTTTGGCATGTTGCAAGGTATAAACCCAGACTGATAGATCAAGATTTTTTTTAAAAAAAAGGAGTGACTGTGAAGTGTTTTCTTATGCTTCCTGCAGTGGTTTCACTATTGAGTTGGCTTCGGCGTTCACAGTTGTGATAGCTTCCAATGTTGGACTTCCTGTCAGTACCACACACTGCAAGGTATGCCTTTGCCCTGTGACTACAGCCAAGCTGGTCTGGATTATTCATTTTTATTTTTTTAACCTTGCTGCTCAGATCAGTTTATAATGGCATGATACTACAGTAGGAAACTTAAATTGGGTGTAGAAGACATCCCTCCTCATATTTTTATAAAATACATGATATAGGTGGTTTTACTTCCCTTCTCAAACATTTCATTATCTTTCAAGTTTTATACAGCTGAACACTTTTAAACTTGTCAGCGCTAATTTATAACTAAATCCACAGCCACATTCAATTTTATATAGCTATATTTTCCTTTCAAAGACAGCCATTTGATTTTTGCATACCATTTTATGGATCTTGTGAAAAAACTAATATGCTTTTTATTTGATGCCAAAATATTCATATGGCTATGCAATTGCACAAGAGTATCAAATATAAATTCTATCTGCATTTTAAAAGTAAAAGGGCGAAAAAATCTAACAATGAGAATAGAACTAAGGCATTTTATCACCTGATACAGATAGTCTAAATGACTTTAATTCATTACTATGAATACAGTAAGCTAAAAAAATCTGTATTAGGCTTTCCCTGGGTGCTGTCTCAAGCTTTGTTGATAGATTTGGCTCTGAATAGCCATATTTTTTTGTGTGAGTCATGCCACAATGAACTTTGATCTGTTGCATTCTTCTTTGCCAAGAGACTCTGACATTTTACATCCTTCATCCTGTCACTTTCCTGATGAATGCATGGCATGGGATTTCCTGTGTGTCACTTTAATGCTACAAAATCTCCATCTGTCTCTTTTTATTTCTTCACAGTGGATTTTGCATTGAAGTTATGTGTGCGCTAACCGTACTTGTAGCCTCAAATGTGGGTATTCCAATAAGCTCCACTCATTGCAAGGTATTGGAGTTTGCAGTGGTCATACCAATTAAACACATTCAAAATCATTTAAGAACTTAATTAAATAGTACATTCTGATTTTTCCCCATTTTGCCTTCACTATGTAATATCTCGTGACGTACAATATATTACATTGCTTACAACATCAATAATCAAAACTCAAAATGTGGATTTTTTATTTACCTTCAAAAATGCTTTAAAAATTTGAGTAATAAGTTCTTCCAAATAATAGGAAAATGATTTTTAAAACAAATTATTAGATTATTCAGACCCTAGTTTATTATTTTTATTGCTTATTATTTTTGCAACTTGTGAATTACATTGTAGAATTTATTTTAATAGTCAATTAACGAGCAATAAACTTAACATTTTAGTATTCTTGCTTCCGCATATTAAATTTAATGTTTGGTTTGCATTAATATTCTTTTTGTCACAAATTTTTTTTTCATTATGGACACTTGTGGATTATAGAATGTAAAAGTTAGGGGGAGTACCACAAGTGCAGTGCAGTCTAAGTCACAACTTTTCTATTTGAAGGCAAATGGTGTTTAATTTCAAACCAATATAAGCCTAGCTGTTTGAAATTCTAGAAATTGTAACTTTTTAGTGATGAACTTAACTGCTTTTCTAATATGTATTATTATTAAAATAAATACATTAAATTCATATAATGTATAAAATTGCTTCTAAAAACCAGTATAACTGATGCCCTTTTAAAATTTGGAGAGAAAAAATGAATTCAAACACATAAATGGCATTTTTTTTTAAGTTCACTGTTTAAATAAAATGTGGTGCTGTTTACATTCTGTTTTTTACTAGAATTCCATGTTCTTTCTTTATAAATTCTTTTTAAAGGCAATGTCAACTATCCCACTGCATTAAACAGCAAAAGAAACTCCTGGGACATTTTTTCTCCCAAAGTATAAATTTACTGAAAAGCCATATGGGTACAGAAATAGAAAAACCAGTTCTGACGTTTTCGTGTACAAACAACAACGGAATTTTTTTTCTTTGCCCCCTGAACCTCCCAATCAGTTGCACTTTTTTATTTTACAATGGCCTCTCTGCCAGATGACGATCTTGAGGTCTCATGCTTCCAGAGAACTTGCATTTCGGAGTTCCCTCCCAAACCTTCCTTATATCCCAATGCCTTCCCTACCTCCTTCCATAACTGTTGTCTGGTTGTAAGCAGGGTCATAACAACCAGGCTAGAACTTCAGACTCATCTGTTACTTTTGCATGTTCCACTCCCCCTAGTTTTTTTCTTAATTTTGTTGAAAAGAAGAAAAAAGCTAGCAAAAAAGTGATGGAGATATTGATCAGCTGGAAATCGTAAAAAAACCCTAAAAGAATGAGCAAGGGATTAAGACAATAGAAAGTATCTGGTTAATAGTACTGATTATTTGATATAGTAGGATGAAGTGTAGATGTTTATATTCCAGTATGAAATGCATTGGAACAATTGACTTAAATACTGCAATTAGCAGTCACATGCTTGCAGATTTCAGGTCCAGATAAAAAACAACAACTGAACACTATTCATGTACTAGTAACAGAGCAAAAGAGCTTGGGAGCAAGATTTGGGACAATAGGAGATTTAATAACTATCCTCTCATTTAATAGTTGATCAGTTAGCAATTGAATTTTAGTTATGGGCACTATCATCTGTCATTCTTGAATGCTGAAGATTGTGTATAGGTTTCTACTGTGCCTGGCACCTACTCAGTGCTGCTAAAAATGTGCTACAACTACACTGCCAATGTATATTACATGAGGGAAATTCATTCTTGTGTACATGAGAAGAGTGTAACCATATTTTTTCTTTGAAATATGTGTTGATGCTTCATGGAATGCCATTCTAGATGGTGTCCTAATCCTTGCTGTTAATCATTCACCTAGCAATTAAGAGGGATTGAAAAGTCATAGAATCCAGATAAAAATGAGTAGAAGCAATTTATTAGCTTCTATACATATTTATTCTAAGGGTTTGCAGTGTTTTGAAGTTGATTCCCAAAATTACTTTAGAGCATTTAATCTACCATGTTTACACCTTTTTAAAGCAATCACATTTTTCTGGGGTCACAGAACAAATTCTTGGAATTTATTTGTTTGTTTGTTTGTTTGCAATCCATTTCCAAAATAATGGGGTTAGAATTGGTTGATCAGAAAGAGTCCTTTGACTAACTTTTAAGATACATTAAATGGATTATGTTGTTGTCAATAATTGGATAGAATTGAAAACTTTTAGAATATGACTTGATTTGCCAAGAAATGATAAGTGAAGTGGAATACATGTCTATAGAAATATGCCTTTGTATAAATTCATGTACCCATGAAACAGGTACTTATATGCAACAACAACCTAAATTCCTTTTCAGACATTTTTAGTAAAAATTACTCTATGTTGCAGAGCTTGAAAAGATCTTTGATTGGCAGCATTTATTAAAGTTGCTCCATATACAAATGAATAAGAAATTTAAATGTCAACAATTTTTACAGTTTTTAACTTTGGGCATCAGCTGACTGGCATTTATTTATAAACTGGGGTCCATAAATATGGTTGTTTAATGGTCACAGCACATTAACCTTTCTGATAATGTTGAGAAAGTGCAGGGTTGGGATGTCAATTATACCTAGGATTAAAATGTAACTTATTAAAGCGAACAGTTTTTCATCGCATCAGACATTAGACATACTTGTTGGTGATTACTCTGATAACTAACCCATCCCTTTCCCCAAATCACTGCTGTGTGCCATGTAACTCACAATGTAGTGTGATGATGGTGATCAATAAAGAATTCCTGGCTATTTAAACAAGCAAAATTTATTGACCCTTAGTCACATATGCATAATATATATATCTAAACATATTAAGATATATTTAATTCTAACTTTCTTCTCAAACTTCCAAGGTTGGTTCTGTGGTGGCTGTTGGTTGGATACGATCCAAGAAGGCTGTTGACTGGCACCTCTTCCGCAATATCTTTCTAGCTTGGTTTGTGACTGTTCCTGTAGCTGGCTTATTCAGTGCTGGCATTATGGCAATCTTAATGTATGGAATATTACCATATGTCTGATACTTCACTGTTCTTTCCAGAAAAAAGGGAGTATCTCTTTTAAGTAAAAGAAGTCTCACCCTCAATACAGAACTCCCTGATCAACCATACACTAAGAGATAGTCTGCAAGTCATCTAACATCTACTGTACATACTATGAGTATCTTTGGTGCCATTTCTTCTGTACAATATGTGTGTGTCTGTGTGTGTGTGTGTGTGTCTGTGTGTGTATATAGACACACACCCATATACATACACGCTTGTAGTTGATAATACTACCTTAAGTTATAAGTGAGATGAAAATAATTGCCTAGAACTTTATCTCTAGTAAGACTTGTATATAATGCATCATTTAGTGGTGATTTTTAAAACCCATTAGGGAAGCTGGGACATTTGTCAATATAATAATATATGATAAAGCAAAATATAAACTGAGTCAGATTCTTTTTTGAAAAAAAGTTTAATGATACTGAAACAAAATAGTACGAAAGTACATTGGTAAAATGTGGTTCATATCATATTGTTGTGTATAATACTGTATGCACATTGATTTTATAAATACTTTTAAAATGTAGCTTTTTAATGTTGCATTTCCCTTATATATTTTGGATAAGGAAGTTTAGACAGTACCAAAGAAGGGGAATAGCTTGACAGTATTCTACTGTTTGTCAGTATGTATATTTGTATTGCTCTCCTTCCCTAAATATTTTAATTAGCATTCTTTTCTACTCATCAAACACCAGCAATGCCAAGATAATATTAATATTTTCCTGTAAGTAGGAAAGCATTATATTGTTGCAGTCTGTATATTATCTATTACCCACTGCATTTATTTTTTTAGAAATCCAGTTCTCTGCTTTTGTATGAGTTCAAATTTCTTTTAAAAGATGTTTGCCATCACTTGTATGTGATTCTTATTCTGGTTCATTAAGAATGAACAAGTTCAGGAAAAGAAAGATGAAACTGAAGTTCTGCCTTGTTTCTATGATTACATCCAGTAAATCTCATCTATGCAGTGGAATTGAGCAATACTGGCAGTGTGCACATTAGTTGTGACATTTCAGTATCTAAAGAAAAAGGAATTACTCAAGTAAGAGATGTTTGGTTGTTAAAACTGGCACTGTGGAAAACTTTTAAAATCAAGAATCATTTGGAAGGATTAGTTCTGATATTAACAGTTGGTGAAGTGTAATCTGCTGCAGCATGGTTTTCGTCCTTTGATAACATCTCAATGTAGCAGTCATATCAGGCCAAACTAGGAAAGTCCACCCTATAGTTGCATGTACCCAGGTTAGTGCTGACATGGAAACATCCACAGCATGTTCACCAGAACACAAGATGACAACAAAGAGTGGAGAGATTGATAATGCTGCAGTTCCCGCATTGCTAAGATAATATAACAGGTTGTATAAGAAATCAGTTTTTACTTTTTGAAGAATTATCTTAGTTTGCCATCTTGTGTGTTTTATAAAATGAAGATATTAGTAGATAGATCTATCAACTAAGCTGCAAATTGATGTAATTCATTGTCTATGCATCTACTAAGGCATTTCCTGAGTAGCAGTTAAGAGACAATATTTAGTGTCCTTTTATTGCTATGGAACTCTGAAGCATTAGCATTTGAGAAGTTCTCTGACATTAATCACAATGTTTGTAACAACTCTTGTGTTTTTTTTCCCAGAAGACTGTCGTTTAAAACTTATTACTGTAATTGTATTTACTGGAAAGGATTTGAGGAAGCATTGTTTGAAGAATGTTGGGAGCCCAGAACTGTTGAAATGCTGCTAAAATTTTGATATATGAGCTTTCTTGGTACTCCATTGTCATTCTTTTTCCTTGGTCATTCACTCTAAATTTATAATAAAAGAATAAATTGCCTTCAGACTATTTATTAAGCCTTTTTTACTGTCACTGTTCTATGAGATTTTACTATTGACACCAATTCATTTAACACAAAATTCATTATCACAATTCGTTTAGCACAAAATTTTCCTTCTTATTTTGCATTTGTTATAATCCTTTTACTTATGCTCCCTCTATGTAAGATTGTTCAGTGTTTTGTAACAATGGAGGTGTGTGCACACACATTCACTTACATACCAAGTGACAAAATCTAAATAAAGCCCAGCTCTGTACAGCGCAAACAGAAGCTTCTATTTATTGCTCTCAGGACTGTTTGTTCCAGGATCCAGTTCCATTGGAATTATTAAAGCCTTCTTCCAATAGCAGTCTGGTTAAAAACTTTAAGAGTGAGTTTCTAAGACTGAAGAAAAAGTAAGATGTTTGCATATTGCTATCACAACAATATTTGGAAAAAGAAAAACTTGGTAGAGAAAAAAAAATCCACATTTTCAGAAAACGTGGGAGAAAAAAAATCCACATTTTCTTTTCAAGGCAGTGCCATTATAATGCTTAGACTTTTACATGTTCAATAATATTGACACCGCAAACCTCTGAACTTGAATGTACAATTTGTGACTCAAGTTATTAATGGCATAATCTGCATATTAACAAATATTTTTGTTAAACTTAATTAAGATTTGCTGTTGCAGTTGCAAACTAGTATCCGCTTAAAGAAAATAATTTATTTTGAATCTCAAAGAATAAAAATCAAAATGATAGGGTTTCCTTTTAAAATTCTAGTCCAAGTGTCTTTGGTCAGAAGCTGCCATCTAAGCAAAGGAGGAGTCCTGGTACATTTTAAGTTTAATAAAGATTCTTAGCTGAATTGATTACAAAAATTTATAAAAACACTACTCTACCTTCAGAGTTCGTTTTTAAATTAATTCTTGGATTAAATAAATTTTGACTGATTTTCAGCCTTATAAATTATAATAGTTTGTATAATTGACCTGCATAAATTAAACAGTTATCTATGTATAAGTGATCTGCCCTATAATATCATTGAAGGAAAACAGTGTTCCCTTTCCACCTTTCTAAAGTATTCTGTTAATAAAGGAGAAAGGGAAGTTTTTATTTATATAAGCCCCTCAATGTTGTTTTTTCTCCATAATTATATACTTGTAACTAGCAAGTATGCTAAGACTTTATTTTCTTGCACCCCACCCCCACCCCCCAATTTCTTTATTTTAATTTCTGGAATATTCTGTACATCCTCTAGGGTTGCAGCTTGTCAAGTCATTAAAAAATATGCACACACATCTGTTCATTAAGCATGAGGAAACTACTCTATTTTTAATTTCCAAAGTGATTGGCATTCTTCTACATAATATGACAGAATAATTTATATTTCTATGCCATCAAATCTGTACAGATTCTTAGCAACCATATGTAGGTAGTCCCTGATTTGCAACTGTAATTGAGTGCTCAATTACAATTGTAAATTGTGATAGTTGTTAAATGGGTCATCATTAAGTCAACACATTGTTTACTATGTGGCCAGTTTTCACCAAAAATCTTACAAATTGTCATGTCACTGCAGAATGCTGCAACTTGCACTAAATGCAAGCTGGTTGTCCAGCATCCAAAATGCAGTAATATAACTGAGGAGGGGCAGACACTGGAACTTAAAATTTGAGTGGTAAGTACCTTTTATGGAGTCTGCCATAATTTCAGATGATCACTAAGCAATAGTTCTAAGTCGACAACTATCTGTAGATAGATTTTTATCTCTGTTCTCAGTCAGGTCCTTCAATCTTCCAATAATGCACTCATTGTTCCTGTAATCAAGTTCACCCAGTTTATCTCTTTCCAACAAGGCAGATGGCTGTTTAAAAAATAAGAAGTATAAATAAAATAAAAGCATTATAAAAATAAAGCAAGCTTTATAATGCAGAGAGAACTAGTCTACACATAATGTGTCCAAAATACATACTTTGAGCTTGGTTATTTGTACCTAGAATGACAACTTTTGTGTTGATTTATTTTTCTAGTGTCTTTTCCAACCCTAAATTTAAAAAGCATCAATACTCTTTCTATATTGCCTTTCCGAAGCCCTAATATTTTTTGCATATGGTGTTACACAGAATACTGTTGCTTGCAATTTCCTGATTTTTAGAAAGAAATCATGCATCTAAATTTTTTTTCCAGGGCCTTCATGGCTGGTCTGCTAAGGACTAGTCTACAACAGTGGTCGCCAACCGGTGGGCCGTGGCCCACTGGTGGCCTATGAGAAAATGTTGGTAGTCTGCAGAGAAATGTCCCCCCAGAAGCAATTCAAGCTACGCGGGAACACAAGGCTGCTGGGGCAAAAGAGCGGAGATCAGGAAAAGCACAGGCAACAGAACGGCGTTTTTCAAAGATGGCAGCTTGCATCTTCTGTTGCCTATGCCTTCCCTGATCTCCGCTCTTTTGCTCCAGCAAGAGCTGTTTCTGCTCGCTTTCTTTTCCTGTGCCTTCCCCTATCTCCGCTCTTTCGTCCCAGTGAGAGTTATGTTTCTGCTCGCTTTTCCTGTGCCTTCCCCAGGCAGCAATGGCTGGGGCTGTGGAGGGGAAGCAGAGCAGAGCACCGGGAGGGACGAGAAAACTGATAATGATGCCCGATTCTGGACCTCTGAACTGGATGGTGAGCACAGACTTGCCCACTCCACCCCCTCCCACTAGTAGCAGCCAGTACTTTTCTTGCCCCGGACCATTCCTATAGCCCACAGCCATCGAGGAAGAACCCAAGCCAGGATAGGAGAGCTGGAAGATGCAGGACTGCCAGGCAAATGCAAGTAGCTCGGTGTTCCTTCACCTTCCAGACATCTCTATCGCTGTTTCAGCCTGCCTGTGCCGCCAGCCCCCTCTTGCTACAACGGCACCATTACCTCATCCTGGCCTGTGAGGGCTGCGCTGCTTTTGGTATGTTGCACCACCTGCAAATTTGCACATTACAGGTGCCAGCCCCTATGGCGGAAATTTCCAACCCCACCACAGCCAGTCCCATATTCCAGAACTGCATAGTCACAAGACTGGCCCTTTGGTCATCCTGGAGCAGTTCATCCATGGCAGACCGGTGCACAGGCCAGTCCTGTGATTACTGCAGCTCTAGAATTTGTCAGCAAGCCACCATCAATCAAAATTCATATTAGTGGTCCCCGGAGTTTGGTGGTCCCTGAGATCCAAAAGGTTGGCGACCCTGGCCTACAACGTAATTCTTATTGATTGCTGGTCCTAAAATGCAGAAGCTATCTAGGATTTCAGAATCTTCATTCACAGTTGCAAGATTGATAGCTGTGTTTATTATCATTAGTTTGATTATATTAAATCTTAGACTGTTTTTTTCCACTATACTTCTTAACATTCCCTATTAGAACTTGCAGATGATTTGCATTTTTACCTTAGTGTCTGATAAGATAGGACAGGTTATTAATGTGTTTTTTTTTAGATTACAAAAGAGTGTTTCTTCAATTTTAAAATTATACTCATCGTCCTATCCAGGTTCCCTCAGTATAATTCAACATATAGGTCAAATAAGGAAAGAGTGTATAATCTTATCTCCTTTGCCAACTCAGGCCAATTGTATGTCTCATTCAAATTATTTCCAGGCCTCTGTATAAGTGAGATGCTCCAGAATTTACATTCTAGAGCATTCTACAGTCTGTTATGATCAACATAATCGAAGGACTTTAATAAAATGTATTTCTTTATAGTATTCTAATATGACATTGGAAATATTAATTAGGCTAAATATACAGTTTTGTGATTTGATAAGTAAATTAAAACAGGTTATGTCTCGAGTAAATTATGGAGAGCCATGGAGATATTCACACAGACTGAGACACAGGCAGAGTTGTTTTTAATGTGTATGTACGACAACATATACACACATTTGGGATAGAGAAAAATAGATCACTCATTGAAATTGTTTTGAGTTGAACTGTGTAGAAACTGCCCAACAGATTTCTGATGCTCTAGAAACAATCTTAAGTCAGTCTATGTCTTCCTGGAAGTAATTTGACTCAATCAATTCCCTAATTTTGCTGAGAAAATTTTCCCCAATTGGGAAGGGAGATAGAAAAAAAAAAAGATGGAAATGCATTGCAAGAGAACAGTCAGTTTCCATTACATAACTCTGCATGTCCAAATCTCTTGGAGGTACAAAACAAAGTAGTAGTTAAA